AGTAGCTGTTCGAATTCCGCTTCTGAAAAAAAGAGCAGAAAAAAAGCATTCGAACATTAAATACAATGTTTATCATCAAGTTCATCATATTAAAGTCTATTTGACCACCAGTCAAGCTCAAAATTCTTACACAAGGTTGATAGTTATACTCATTTAAAGCCGTAAAAAATTAAATTAGTAAAATAGCAATAAAAAAACATGGTTGTACAGGCGATCAAATGGTCAGACTGCATAGATAAAGGATAAGGATTATTCAAGAAAATAGTTATTGAAATCAAATTGAGAAAATTCAGTAATGTCATAAAAAGCTAATTCTTTAAAAAGTTTAACTAGGGAAGCATGAAATTTTTTGCTGTCTAAGTTTCGCATGTAGAATGGAAGTTTATTCATAAGCTGAATACCTAGACCGTCGATCGTGTTGAAAGAGCTGGCTAACTTATATGTGCGCGCCTTAATAAGTTTGTGTCTAGTGTTGTAGTTTGAGGAGGACGAAGCCATATCAAAAAGTTTCGAATTGTTTTTGATGAAAGATAATGTTACCAGCAAAAAATGCATGGGACAGTTAGAATATTGTGTTTTTTAAATATGGGCCTGCAGGAAGCTTTACTGGGCAAGGAATTATATTGAATAAAAAAAAATGAATTTTGCCAAAAAATGGGGTTTTCTTACTTATTGAGTGAAATATTTGCTTTTTTGTACTTTCTGATCCTCTGCTTCGGCTTTCAGTTCTCTATATTTTCTTATCTCGCGTACATATTATAGAGAAGAGTGTATATTACTAAGTGAAAGCAAAAAATATATATTATTGAAAATGAATAATAAAAGTTAATCCTCTACACCTCGATCAATTCATTTCATTGCCCATTGCTGCCGCAGAATGCATAAGCACGTGCACTACACTTTGCGGTTCGTATTATAGCAAATATAATGGCAGGCAGCACGCGATTATATGACACATGATATCACGTTGGCTTATGAATGCAACATTATTTATGGTAATTGAAGGGTACCAGGAAAAAGAGCAAATGTTACATATTCAAAATTAAGCATGCAAAAGATATAAATCGACAATTATTTTACTTTAATTGTCCGTGTATTCAATTAGGTGCACAATGCTGACATAAAAAATATATATTTTCTATCATTCCACTACATTCAAAATACAGTGAAGCACCACTAAGTCGATTTTCCAGGGTCTGACAAAAAAAACTCGCCTTAAGCGAGAAAGCATATTGTAAGTAGACAATGTATTTCAAGGTGCGGGCGCGGCCCCAAAGTAGTAAATTATGCAGTAAATCGAATGAAGCAATCCCCAATGTTCTGTAGTAGGGTAGGGTGGGGCACAAAGGACCAAATTGACTATGAGCAATTATAAATTAAATACCAAATAACACATATCAAACGAACAACTATTTGACAATGTTCAGTGAAAATCCCAGCTAATATAATTAATCATACTAGAAATTTTTAACTTCCCGTAGGGTAAGTTATTGCAATGGGCCGAAAATCGGAATTGAAAATTTTTACATTTCTCGACGTTTTGAAGGTTTCTGAACGTTTTGGCATACTTCAGAAAAAATGGATGTGTGTGTGTGTGTGTGTGTGTGTGTATGTATGGATACAAATTTCCAGTCACGTTTTCTGGCGCACGGATCAACCGATTTGAATTTGAAAAAACATTCGATTTCTATTGATAGGGAAAAGAGCTGATTAGTTTTTGGCGAAGGCAGGTCCAGCCGTTTCGGAGATACGGAGCAAAGAGTGCAGAAAATAGTAATCGACTTTTTGAGAGAACGGAGTATCCGATTTGAATGATCTAAAAAACATTCAATTAGTAATGATTGGGAGAAGCGTCTATTAGTTTTTGGCAAAGGCAGGCCCAGCCATTTCGAAGATACGGAGCTAAATATGTAAAAAATGGCAGTTTTTGAGAGAACTAAGCGTCCGATTTAAATTATTCAAAGAACTTTCTGCTTGTCTTAACAAAATAATTGATTTTGGAAAAAAAAATTTTTTTTTTAGTTTTTTTTTTTTTTAGTTTTTCTTGTATATCGAAAATAATTCAGATTTTATTTTTATTCTGACTAAAGTTCTAATATAACTCAAACAAATAATTTTAAATTTACAATTTAATTTATATACTTCTTATAAATATTAGACAATGTTACAATATTTATAATAATCTATTTGAAAACATTCAGTATTCCTCGAACATTTCGTTACGGTACGGGAAGTTCCAGCAATTTTCCTTAAGGCACGATGCCACCCACCCCACTAGTTTTTGTTGTTTTTCAAAAATTTGTAACCTAGTCTTTTTTACTCCATAGGCGGGATAAATTGTAACGGCCATGGGGCAAACCGATCCAATGTTTTATTTTAATTTTAAAGGAATTTTACAAAATAATAGCTACATTATTCAACCAATGCAAAATTTAAATTTCATGAGTGCATTTTTACAGATATAACACTGTAAATAGCCTTGATTTTGTATTTCGTCAGAAATATTCGTCAGCAGAGTTGGAATAACTCTGTATTAAGTTATCTCTTGTAAAACTGTTTATTGAACTTAATTTACTTTATCATATTTTTTTTTATTTTTTACACCATTGCCAGGAAAGGTTCAGTTGGACCTTTTTCCCATCCTGGTGTAAGCTTTTATAGAGGTTATATATAAATAAATACTGTTGAATCTAACTTAAAATTAGCAATACATCTTAATAAAATAAACAAGTATAAACATAAAAACAGTTAAATAATGTATACTTAAAAATTAAATTAAAGTTTGATTAATGAGCAGAATTGGCCCAAAACCCTCAGATTAATGACCAAAATAGTGAACTCTTATTAGAAGCTTTAAATCAATTATCATTTTTGACCAAAACATGACCATTTTCTTGTGCATATTTTTTTATATTTCGGGAACAGTCGCACTTGTGTTTACGATAATCTATTAAATATTTTACACTGTCAAAACAAATGGAATGATTTTTGAGTTATTCAAATTGGATGATCTTGTCTCTTGAACTGAATATATACATGCGTACATTACTATAGAATGCCTGAATAATAATAACATGATAGTAATTTATAAAAGAATAAATGAACTATATTGTTGAAATTTGTATAATTTTAACCATCCAATTCCATTTAGTGTCCTTAAAATTATAATCTTGCATTTCTAATTCGAAGAAGGAAATACTATGCCTCAACCTCAAAGAAAGGATACCGTTGGGGACTAGTAATCTAATTGTTCATTAGGTTACCTAATTAAGGTATATCTTTTAATACATGAATAGTGTTAGAGTACAAAAATCATAATTCAAAAGCGCTTCTTATGATTACAAAGACACTTTTTGTTAGAATAGAGGTAGCCAAAGTAGTAAAAATATATAAAACTATTAACTGAATATTGATATGCATTTTGCTTAAACTTACAAACAAAAGTCAGAACTTTTTTAATGTTTAGAGCTTTTGATGGTTTCGCTTGGCTTATAACAATCGATAAATACTAGATAAAACTGAGAGTTTATATTTCCTAAGAAAACGAAACAATTTTAAAGGTTAAAATTTATGCGTGCGGCATAATTTTAGAAATTTTCAATTCGGCCTAAAAAAAGGTAGGAAAACACTGACTACCGAAAAATCTGGACAAGTGATTGTGTAATAATTATTGAATGAACGTCCTAGAATAATATTGCAGATTGAAATAATTTAATCTACTGGATTTTAATTATGATTAGAAAATAGAATTAACAATATGGTTTTAAATTAATGAGTCATAAAGCAAATATTGCAATAATCGATTTTTTGTATAAAAATAAACAGAAAATTATAGTCAGTTGGGAAATAAAATTGGGCATAATTAAAAATCTAATCTTTAATATAATTTATTTCTTAGGTTGTTGTAAATAGCCTCCACTTTCTCTTTTAAAATACTTTATATCATTATTTTAACCTAAAACAATGTAATAATTTTGAGTGAATGAAAATGCGCTTATAGAATCATAATTTCAATTTAAAATTACCAGAAAATCATTGGCAAGTTTCATATCTTATAAAGGTTAGTTTTATACATAAAACAATTTAAACGTTATATATTAATAGGATGTATATTCTTCATTTATAAAACTTTGTAAAATTGTGACCATAAAAAATGAAATATTAAATATGATTTCTTAATATGTTATAATAGCATAAAATTCAGCATTCAATACTAATTATAAATATCATATCCAATATTTATTAAAATTAGTAACAACTGTCATTGCACCCATTAATTAAAGTGCCAGCTTGCATGATAGCAACAGGTTGAAATTATAGTACGGAAAGCTGACATAAATATGAGAATATTAAATTATCTAATAAGACTTACCAAATTTTATATTTTTGAACAAAATAAAAACTAAAAATCAACATTTATTTCACAATAACTAATGTCCACTAGTAAAAACGCACATTTTGACAAAACAAAAACAACTTAAAGCAATTGTCATACTTCAATGCTGTTTACTGACATTTAGTGTTGCCACCGCGAGGAAAAAGTCTTTAAAATTAAAATTATTTCAAATTCAAAATTGAAAGTATCACGATAAATGTCAAATCTTTTGAATCATACACAAAATTTTATTATTAAATATGTTGAATAACGATTTATATATTATTTATAGCAGGTAAATGTTTCTTTGAATTGGTTTAGAATAATTAACAGAAACTCCATTCACAAGATTAGACGTAAGCCAAACACAAACAACTATTTAACAAATTTTATTGATGTGAAGTAATTTTTGTTTGTGGATGCATATTATATTAACATCAAAGTCATTATATCTAATTTTACTTTTTTACGATTTTAATTAATTTTCAAACTGATTTTATATTCGTAAAACATAAACGTTTAAAAGTGTGTGCCTACTGGAATTCAAATAAATTAGTTCTGCCAAATGCCGCGAGAGACATTCTCGATTTGATTAGTTTTTGTCTATGGAATGAATATGGCGCTGTCGTATTTGATTATGCCTGTCGCATGAAAAACGTGATAACGTGAAATTCTACATCTGTTGAATTTTACTTATTTGATATTAATGCTTTGTTTGCTTTCTGTGTATGCGAATTTTTAAGTTATAATCGGTTTTAAGTAGTTTGAAAATGAGCGTTGACGCATATGGTCCCAGTTCGCAAACCCTTACGTTTTTGGACACGGAGGAAGGAGATTTGTTAGGTGCTGATACTCAAGGATCGGATTTTGATTTTACAGATTTTACTTTACCGTCACAGAGCCAAACTCAAGCTTCTCAACTCGATCATGGACAGAGTTCGATTCAGGTATGATGTCATCGTGTTATTCATCATGTTTCAGGCATATTATTTTGCGTAATACGTTTTTAAGAAAAATATTTTCTGATGACGTAGTTACATTGATAAATGCCGTAAAATCATTATAAATACATTAATCGCGTATATGTTTGTATTCTTAATATGACACTAGAAAAATATTATCAATGTGTATTAATTTACAGCTTAATGGAATTGGCCTCAAGTCAGACATTTCAAAAATATCCACGACTACCCAAGCGCTAGCTGATCTACAGTTTGAGGAAGACGAAGATGAATTATATGGAAATCGTGAATTGCCATACCATGCTTGTAAATATTGTGGAATTCATGAGCCCAGTACGGTAGTTATGTGCAATGTATGTAAAAAGTGGTTTTGTAATGGAAGAGGAAACACATCAGGCTCGCATATCATAAACCATTTGGTCAGAGCTAAACATAAAGAAGTAACATTACATTCAGATGGGCCACTCGGTGAAACTGTCTTGGAATGTTACTCGTGTGGGGTTAGAAACGTTTTTGTTCTTGGTTTCATACCAGCAAAGGCAGACTCTGTAGTTGTTTTATTATGTCGGTAAGTATAGAAACCAATATATAATTAAGTTTTTTTTGTAAAAGTATCACAGTATCAATTGTATATAGTCAATTGAATAGAAAATGTTACAAGAGTTATTGTCAGCCTTTGCTTAAGAAGTACCAAAGATTACTAGTTAATACAAGACTGTTCATACTATTTGTGTATTATGTGTATTATTTGTCCACTTTATCATTATCAAAAGTAAAGATTGTATTGCTAGATGCATTAAAAAATAACATAAAAATTAGCTCACAAATGCTCTATCTGTTAATATATTGTCATAAATTTATTTTATTAAAAAATTATTACTTTTACAGCCAGCCATGTGCATCACAATCATCTTTAAAAGATATGAACTGGGATCAAGATCAATGGCAACCACTAATTTCAGATAGAAGTTTTTTGTCATGGCTTGTAAAAGTCCCATCAGAACAAGAGCAATTGCGAGCAAGACAGACTTCTGCTCAACAAATCAATAAATTGGAAGAACTTTGGAAGGACAATGTAGAAGCTACTTTTCAAGATCTTGAAAAACCTGGTGTAGATGAAGAGCCTGCACAGGTATTTGAAATATTAACTTAGTTAATTTTCTTTTTTTCCTACAATATGCCCATATGTTATGATAATTTATCGGATAATTTGTTTAGGTGTTGCTTCGTTATGAAGATGGTTATCAATATCAAAATATTTTTGGACCCTTGGTTAAGCTAGAAGCAGATTATGACAAACGACTGAAAGAATCACAGACCCAAGCTGACATTGAAGTCCGATGGGATGTTGGACTGAATAAAAAAATCATTGCATATTTTACTTTGGCAAAAACAGATAGCGATATGAAGTTGATGCATGGAGATGAACTGCGCCTCAGGTTAGTAATATTGTACTAACATTAGCATTAAATTTTGAAACAATATTAATTTTTTGATATTGTTTTCTCAGATATGTAGGTGAACTTCATAAGCCATGGGCTGGTGTTGGACATGTTATTAAAGTTCCTGATAATTTTGGAGATGACATAGGTTTAGAGCTTAAAGGAAATTCAGGAGCACCTACAGAATGTAATTCTAACTTTGTAGTTGATTTCATTTGGAAAAGTACATCGTTTGATAGGTTAGTCCAATATTGCAAAGTGTCATTCAGCAATGAATTGTAATTAATTTTTGTTAATTTTAGAATGCAAATGGCTTTGAGGAAGTTTGCAGTTGATGATTCTTCTGTGTCAGGTTACATTTATCATCGTCTTCTTGGCCATGAAGTTGAAGAAGTATTATTTCGATGCCAATTACCTAAACATTTTAGTGCACCAAATTTACCACATTTAAATAGATCACAAGTAAGGAATATGAGATATTGATAAATTACATTTGTTTCATATAAATGTATTTCATTTTTTTTTTTTTTTTTATTCAGGTCTATGCTGTGAAGCATGCCATTCAGCGGCCTTTATCACTCATTCAAGGTCCGCCTGGTACAGGAAAAACTGTAACAAGTGCTACTATTGTTTATCAATTAGTTAAACAACATGGTGTTCCAGTTCTGGTTTGTGCACCAAGTAATACAGCTGTTGATCAATTGACCGAAAAAATTCATAAATCCAGCTTAAAAGTTGTTAGATTATGTGCAAAATCCAGAGAGGCTATAGATTCTCCAGTAAGCTTTTTAGCTTTGCACAATCAAATTAGAAATATGGACACCAATACAGAGTTAAAGAAATTGCAGCAATTGAAAGATGAAACTGGTGAATTGAGTTCAGCAGATGAGAAACGATATAGGATGTTGAAAAAATCTTCAGAAAAAGAATTGTTAGAAGCAGCAGATGTAATTTGTTGTACATGTGTTGGTGCCGGGGATCCTAGATTAGCGAGATTAAAATTTCATTCTATATTAATAGATGAAAGTATGCAGTCCACAGAACCTGAGTGTATGGTGCCTGTGGTTTTAGGGGCAAAGCAATTAATTCTTGTTGGAGATCATTGCCAGTTAGGCCCTGTTGTCATGTGCAAGAAGGCTGCAAAAGCAGGCTTATCCCAAAGTTTATTTGAAAGATTAGTAGTCTTGGGAATAAAACCTTTTCGCCTAGAAGTGCAATATAGAATGCATCCTGAGTTATCTCGCTTTCCATCTAATTTCTTTTATGAAGGCAGTCTGCAGAATGGTGTTTGTGCAGATGAAAGAAAATTAATCAAAATAGATTTTCCCTGGCCTTGTCCTGATAAGCCGATGTTCTTTCTTGTGACACAAGGCCAAGAAGAAATTGCAGGATCAGGAACATCATATTTAAATAGAACAGAGGCTGCAAATGTTGAAAAAATTACGACCAGATTTTTAAAATCTGGTGTCAAGCCAGAACAAATAGGAGTTATAACACCTTATGAAGGACAGAGAGCTTATTTAGTACAATATATGCAATATCAAGGAAGTCTACATTCAAAATTATATCAAGAAATAGAAGTAGCGAGTGTGGATGCTTTTCAGGGGCGTGAGAAAGATATAATCATTATGTCATGTGTTAGATCAAATGAACATCAAGGTATTGGCTTTTTAAATGATCCAAGAAGACTAAATGTTGCTCTCACTAGGGCAAAATATGGAATAATTATTGTTGGAAATCCAAAAGTATTATCAAAGCAACCATTGTGGAATCATCTGTTAACATTTTATAAAGAACAGAAAGTTCTAGTTGAAGGTTCCTTGAACAATTTGAAGGAAAGCATGATTCAATTTACAAAACCAAAGAAATTAGTCAATTCAATGAATCCTGGATCTCATTTTATGTCAACATGTATGTATGATGCACGGGAAGCAATGGTTCCGGGATCAGTGTATGATCGCACTGGACAAATGAATCAAATGTATCCTCCAAGACCTAACGGTTTGGATATGTTTGCAAGGACACATGACACAGTCAGCTACATATCCCAAGAAAGAGCGCAAGCAGCCCTCACAAATATGCCTGTTCCTGTGGGCATGTTTATGAATATGAGTCATGTTCCTCCCAGATTTTATAATCAACATCAGCAAGCAATGCAAGCCAGGCAAGGCCGAAGAATCAAGCCAAACAAGGGTCGCCCTCGTGTTTCATCTCAAGAAGGAACGCAACCCACACCACTGACTCAGGGCATGAGTCAGAATATGAGCCAGCCCGGTTTTAGTTTGAGCCAAGCAGGATTCTCACAGCCTGATCTATCACAAGAATCATATATGGTGGAGTATCAATCACAGATGGATGGTTTGTTGTCCCAGGAATCATCTTTTCCAAATGATCGTTCAGGGAATTCTAAAGGACTTGGCTATAATTCTAATCAGTTTTCGCAGCCGTATTGAAATACATGTTCTTGGTGCTCATATGCAAATCAATAAAGTCGCGGGAGCGATTAGTGGACATTTGAGAGAATATCAAATTCAATATCATTAAATTGAGAGTAATACCAAATGAGAAAATACTAACTTTCTAACATACACAGAGCTTAATAAAGATCCTACAGTTAGGCCCGATGCTAACTGTAAATCTGCAAAAAAATTCTCTGTAATATGAATTAGAAGTATGTGTGTTGATCAAAGTGATGCTACATAACCAAAGTAGTGTAAAACTATTAGAGGGGAGAGAGCGATCTAATTTCAATATTGGTTGATGCGCTTTGCAAATACTTGGAATATGTCCAACTTACATTTCCACAAACAAAACATTTAAGGGATAATAACCACATTTGTTTCTTATTTATGAAATATTTTTGCTTTGAACCATTATTACAATAATTTTAAGATAAATTTGAATCATCGTTAATTGTTTATTCATACATTGGAAAAATTGAACACCACTTATTTTGAAATTCTTGATTTGGGAAATAAATATTATGAAATTATTTTTGATGTTTATTTTAATATTTCAGGGATATAAAAACCATGCTATAAAATAGTGGATTCTCTAACACTATTTATATTTAACTTTCGTAAAATGAAACTTGTAATACAGGAAAGTAAATCCTGAACACATTGTTCAAATATTGAAGTAGGAAGTCGATTGCAACATAATACAAAAGAGTTTTTAATCACACTAGACAAATATTCATTATTTGCTAGTTTTGTCATTGCAACACTGTCTTGTCTGCTTTTATTCTTATTATCGATGTTGTGTTTAATATTGTAAATGAAAGCAAACTTTGTAGCATTAATTTTTATTACATAATGCACCATACAACTCAAGTTTACAACAAGTTTTGTTAATATTGATGCACATGAACAATTCACATAACATTTATATGTCGGTGGACCTAACACATTCTATGGTAAATTATGAATTAATGCTCTTTTATATAATTTTCAATGAGTATGGAGAAATATGGAAGTTTGCTTAAATAGAATAATATTAAATATATTGAAATGAACACAAATTTCCACTCAATGGAATGACTCCATAAGGCAGCTGCTAACAATCTTTCCCTATGTACAAATATTTTAAAAACTTTAAATTTAATTACTGTGCTGTGCATTTTATTTCTTTGGCAATCAATCAAGTCTGGTTATTAATATTGCCAAATTCTCTCTTCCATATTCCTTTATTGAATAAAATGTTTTTATTCATAAATAATTGCAGCGTAATGACTAAATTCAGCCTTAACAGCTGCTGAAAAAATATTTTTGCTCCCGAATAAACTCCCTCGAGTCCTGAATTTTCTTTCGGTTTTCTTAGTTTTTATTTTTTTTTGTATTTTCTGTTTTTAAACTTTTTTTGTTTTTTTTTTTCTTTTTCTTGTTATAAATTTTTTTCTATTTTTTTCTTTATAAATTATATATCAAAATATTATCAAAAACAATCTGTGATAGTCAGAATTCAATTTTCTTTATATGGATAATAAAGAAAATTATATTCTGATACTATCAAAGTTAAACGAAGAAATTTCAACACATGTTGTTTGTTAAACAATCTAAATAAATATTTATAAACTAAATCTGAAGCCAGAATCACGAACGATAAAATTATTGTCACACATCTCTGGCATCAACCACAAATTAACCAGAACTGTAACATTATGAATGCGATTTTTTAACAAATGTTTCGACATTCATATTTCGATTTGTGGTGACTAAAGCAAAACAATTTGCTACTAATAAGATCACAGCCGCAATTCTTAAAAACGATTCTTATGAATATAAAAAGATATATATATATATATATACATATTGAATTCGAAATTCATTCGATCATTAATTTTAGTATGCATTCGCATGCTGATAATTCTATCTTTTGGTCAGAATTTTCATTGCTAAGGCAACACCCATTTTTATATTTTGATTTCTTTGTTTCAGTTTTTCCCGAAGGTATATTTTTTACAGGAAGAGACGAGGATTGCAATTCAGGTACTGGTAATCCCAAATCCATAATCCGATCTAAATCATGAGTTTGTTTCAACTTCATGTATGAAAATGAAAATACAGACTTAATGTAAAGAAACATATTGTACAGATAGACCGATCTCGCTGTGTTGGTCCGATCGAAGGGTTCTAAAATATTTAACCATTTAGTTTCATTGCATACATATTAGCAGGTGTGGGTAATGTGATAAGTATTTAGTCTCAATGCCAAGTAATTAGGCAGATAGCTATTAACTAAAACCTCATACAGCGCTACTGGTAAAATTCAACTGGATCGGACCTAGTTTTGTTGAACAGCGTCGTGTCCGCAAATTTTAGTGAAATAAAATATTATAAAAAAGAATCAGCTAAGTACTTATTAAATTGCCCACAATATATATTATGAATATTTCGCATACCTTCAATACAAATGTATAACCATTGTGTCGGATCATTCTTTGGCATTTGTTCATTTTTGCAATCATCAATTTTCAACAGTTTTGCAAGCCTTATGGATATTGCCCACGCCGAGTAACTAAAATAATAGATTAATAATGCTTTGAATACTGATAAATTAGTACATAGAGTGGGTGCCCCGCACAAAGTACACCTCGAATAATAAACACTTTGCAAAATGGACCACACAATGATCATTTGTAGTAAAAATGAAGTTGATGTGCTAAATGAAAATCTAATCAGAAGGTCTGGGTGAGCTGAGTTTTATTCAAAAAGTGAAAAAAATATTTGTTGTTGAAAAACCTTACACTTAAATAGCTCTTGCTATGCGATAATGCAGCTATTCACCCGAAAGATCCTTGAGGAAAATTTAGAAAAAGATTATCAAAAAAAAAAAATGAAAACGATTCCACAACAAACTTTTTGGCTAAGTAGAAATAAGTGCAAAAATTCAGGTCCGTTGATTTTAAACCTGGATGAGATTGATAGAATAAGCAATTTGTACATCTGTGCCTCACTCTTTTGGGCAGGTCTTAAATAAGAAAGAAAAACAAACAACCATCAACAGCTTCTTTAGAAGCTAATTAGGTCAAAGGGAGCACAACCACTTTTTTATATAACTGATAAAAAATTTAATACGCATATAAAGCAATAAAATAACTAATTATAATATAATATACAGCGGTATCCCATTAAACGAGTTTAATTCGTTTCGTAGCCACGCTCGTATGTCAAATCACTCGTTCCTTGAATCTATTTTTCCCATATAAATGCATTGGAATACCATTGATTCATTCCAGCACTGTGGTTTATGTTAAGTTCTTTGAATATCAAAAAAATTAAAAAAACGCGAACTCAACATAATATATTTGTTATATTTTATATAATTGAACAATCATTATTAATATGAAGTTAAAATTTCGAAAGTTAAAATAATCCATATGTTCGCGTGGATAAATCGTTACTACACAATTAACATTAAAATTAGTTGTGTATGGCATTGTGCCTTAAGGCAAATCGCTGGAACTTTCTGCACCATAACGAAATATTCAAAAAATATTATATGTTTTCATATAGATTATTATAAACAGTGTAACAATCTCTAATATATATAAGAGTTGTATAAATCGAATTACAAAGTTAAAATTATTTATTTAAAGCATATAAGTGAGCTTCAAACTTTGGAAATAAAAAAAAAATGAAAATTTTTTTTTCCAAAAGCAATTATTTTGTCAAAGCAAGCAGAAAGTTTTTTGAATTATTCAAATCGGTTGATTAGTTCTCTCAAAAACTGCCGTTTTTTGCACATATAGTTTTTCTAGAAAACTCTTACTCGCTCAAAGCTCGTATATTGAATTTTGAACATATGCCGGAGCAACTAATTGCTCATTTTCCAGCTTGTATTTCGAAACACTCATATTTCAGTAAGTCGGGGTACAACTGTATTTTACATTAGAAGACCATACTTTATATTACAGAACGAATTAGTTTTATTAACATATACTACCGATATGCGAGGCATCACAGTACTACATAATTAGAAATTATTTTATGAACTTACTCAAAGTTTGCGTAATAATCAAAGAATCCAAGTAGTAACTCTCCAAGTGACTGATTATTGTCTGTTTTGTATGGTTCAAGCCTTTCATGGATATCTATTGTATGAATATCGGTGTAATTTTCGAATTTTCCAGGATACATAGCATGTAGACAGGGTAGTATTGGAGGTTTAACGCCACCTGAAATTCGAAAAAATAATAATAGATGTATTGTGAAATAGCACTCTAAAAACTACAAAATACTTACATTGCAAATAATGAATGACCATTAAAGTTAAAGAATAACTCGATATGGTTGATTCTCTAGCACTATTCATTTGGTTTCCTCGTGCCCATTGCTTGACTAGTATCACTAAAGGCTTCAATCTCCAATTCACTGTTGAAATTATCAAAATAAAGAGTGATTAAATGTAAGTAGCATTTTGCCTTAAGAAAAGTTGTATGAAAACTATCAATGCTATTTCTAATATCTTTCGAACAATAATATATCTGTAGCTCTATTAAAAAAATCATAACATACATAAATGTCTAGTAATAAAATAAAATAAGAAGACACTTTTGTAGATTATTATATTTTGTAATTGTTGCGTAATCTCTTTCGCGCTTCGAATAAAATTAATGATTTTTAACTTCCTGTAAGTTATATATAGTAATCGTAAAAATCGATAATGAAAATGTTTATATATCTTTACGTTTCAAACTCTTCTGAATATTTTAGCATACCTTAGAAAACCGACGTGCGGATACTATTTTTCGTCGACGATTTCGAGAACACTCATCAACCGATTACAATAATTAAAAAAACATTAGATCTCTACTGATAAGGAGTCGTGCTGATTAGTTTTTGGCAGAAGCATATCCAGCCGTTTCGAATATATGGGGCAAAAAGTGCCAAAAATGGTAAATCAATTTTTGAGAGACCAGAGTCCGATTTCAATAATTCAAAACATTTTATTTGTATTGACAAAATAAAGAATTGATTAAATTTTTAGCAAGGTAGGGTTTCGGGAATCGAGTTCAAAAAGTGACAAAAAATTCCATTTGCGGTCAAAAATAATCATTAGACATATTGAACATCAAATTATCAGATATTTTATAGAGATTTTAATAACGAGTACAAATTTTGTTTACATAAGACTGCGACAAGGCGCTTACGCGCTTATTATATTATTATAATACAATATTTCGGCTCTAAACTAGCTACGCAGCGCAATTGCTTTGAAAAACAGTTCATAATTTCCAAAAAAACTCAAAACAAAGAAAATTTAAAAATTAAAATCAATTTTAACAACAAAGCTTTGTTAAGAATTTTAATTTGCTAATGCTTTTGGCGATCGTCGTACAAAATTAAATAATGCTAGTCTTGATACCATTTTTATATATGGTCATTATATATCGAGTTTCATTTGAATTTTGAATTTTTTAAATTAATTCAGAAGTTTTAAAAAAATAATGAAGGTCAAATTTCGGTAAAAGGCCAAATTTTGGTTTACATACACATGCAGAAACACACAGTCACATACTTTTCAATTTTGGCATCGAGATATTCAAAATGACTTAACTTCTTCTTTGGTATTTTAATAATAATTCGAACTAAAATAGTTATACAAAAATTCATTGGTCATGATGATGATCAGGATATTATTAACCAGTATCAATATCCTGTAATTCATGTATTATAAAAAAAAAGAAAATATGTATAGTATATTTATTTAATCCTTTTCATTTTGTAAACAGTCTAATCCAATGCTCCAATATAAATAGAATAAAATGAAAACATATGATGAAAAGTTGATGTATATTTCTGGACCATTTGCTTAATAATCTTATTACTGAATTTAATTTCTGCACGCTTTTAATCATAGTTTAAACCAGTATTTAGATAAAAATTGTACTAAGTACGACTGAAGAAGTAATAACTTTTAGTAAATAATTCAATTCTCAAATACCAATGAATGTATTATTGCTATTTAAATGTTCAATCAAATAAGAAGAGAGTAGCTTTTAACTTAATATGATAATATTTAAAATATTAAACTCACTTTGATTGTAACAATGTAAAAGATGAGTGTTTCTGATGCCAACAAAGTTATTGCAATTCAGATCAACATCTAAATTTTGTGCAATATCATGAAATCGAAGAATAGGAACCTTAGCTGGAAATAATCGAACATCTTTGAAATAATCTGAAAATGAAAAAAACACATTAATAAAAATTATAAAACATCTATTATTTTAATATCAAAATTAAATAAAGAAAGAGTAAAACACTATTAAATTTTTTTTTCAATTGATCAATGCAAATAAAATATTGTATGTTCTAAATATAAAATAAGTGAAACATAAGGAGAAAATATAAAATTTACTATAGAATCTCGTATGTATTATATTTGTATTATAGATAAATATAATAACAGTATAATTTTAATATGATATGCAAAATAAAAAAAACAATATTTGTGGATAAATAATTTGCAATAAATATTTGAAAATCACTTACCATCTGCATTATTTAATATTAACCTATACAAATTGTCCAAGTGCATTTGTGCTTCATTACGTTGATCAATTTCAGAATTCTTAACAATTAAACAAAAATCAACATCAGACGAATTTGATGCAAAGCCAGTCATTGTAGATCCAACAAGAAATAAGCTATATCGAGCATGGAAATTTTTAATAAATAAAAATAAGTATTTCCATAGCATTAGTTTACTTCTATAAGTTTCTTTAGTTTGTTGAACTGATGAAAATTTATCCCAAATTGCCTGTGACAGTTTGTCTTTATTCAAATCTGAAAATAGACCATGTATAAATTATCCAATCCATATAATTTTAGTGTTTCATGATTTTACTATTTATAGATAATATAGATTTGGCAATTTTCATTAATGAATATAAAGGTAGTTAGCAAATAAATTTTGATATATTGCAGAATGGAAAGTTATATTTTCCCCTGGTAGAAAATGTAAATGTATATTTATTGAAATATATATATGGTTTTGACTTGGCTATTTTTGTAAAATCCAAATAATTGCCAAATTTATATATATATATATATATATATATATATATTAGGGTGGTCCTTAATATGGACATTTTCAAATTTCCTTGCTCCCAAGGGCTCAAATGGTTCCAAATTCATAAAAAACATTAATTTTTAGATAGTGAGCAATTCAACCAAACTTCGTATGGAAATAGCATGGAAAAAATTTTGAAAATTTTGAAAATAAAAAAAAAATTATTTAGGTATATCTTAGCGACAAATGAATTAAAAGTGAATATTTGTGTCATTTTTTATTGAAAATTCGCGGCTCTGCAAAACAAGTTTTTTATAATTTGTTTCGTAGTGTCGAATTTTGAATAAAATTCATTCATCTGTTGTTCGCTAAATTATATCTAAAAAACATTCTTTAAATTCTTGACAATTTTTCCATGCTATTTCCATACAAAACTTGAATTGAATTGCACACTATCTAAAAGACAATATTAAGAGCTAAAATGTGTATAATCACAAATATATATATATATATATATATATATATATATATATATATAATATATAGATCTTACCAATTTGTGGAATATTTTCATCATCCATCAGTAGCTTTAAGATAAATCTATCAGCCGGAACGAAGAAGTTCTTAGAATAATATGGCAAACTTTCCAGTGGGGTCAAATTATAATAGTTATATAAATCCAGTAAATTGTGCAAACTGTATGGAATACTATGTCCTATAGGTTTAGAGTAGTCCCAACCAGAATTTGGTTCTCTCTGTAGTGCCAAGTGATACATTCTAGTTTTTTGGTAGCACACTCCAAGCCGATGATCTTTTGTAACATTTGAAAATTGCTTTTTATGCGGATTACTGGAAAAAATAATATAATATTGATATCAGCATAATAGTTTTCAAGTTTTACATTTCTTCTTTGTATTTAGAGTTTAGTATCAAACATTTATTATCAAACAAGATCATAAAATATTAATGATTTAACTTGCTTCTAAAAAATAAAATAAATCTATGGTATTCCTCAGAAAAATACTAATGTAAAATTATGATTAATTCCTGAAATAAGCAAAACTATTCTGCTTAGCACTGAATTCTTTTCAAAAAAATAATTCTGTGAGTCAAATTAATGTATTATTTGAAAAATCAATTTAATTAAATTGTATTGTTTGAATACCCTTTCTTATTTGAATTTCCATATCCATTATTGTACATATATTGATTTCCTTGATCACAATTTTGATTTATTCGGAAGCCTTTGTGATGATAATACTGATGATTTCCATAGTCATACTGGTCCGGCCATGATTCAGCTATAAAGCATGCATTGTTCAGATAAGGGTCTGAACCATAGTTGCTCTTCTTCAAGGATAAACTTTTCGAACAGTTTTTCACTTGCTCTAAAAAGATATTGTTATTTTTTATAAGGAATTTATTTGAAAAATATCTAAATATATACCATTTAATTTACACTCATAGCATATAAAACAAGTTTCATACATGTTCTTAAAATTAGTACATTATATTTAATAAAATCAATTATTTATGATGCATACCTCTATCAATCAGTGGTTTAAGCATAAATTCCCCTAGTGTTGGAGATTTTCTGGGTGTTATTTGTGTTCCTGTTGTTGCTCCATTATGGCAATTTTCAACATCTTTCTTAACACAGGTTGAATTGATTTCTGCAGGTGCTGGTGAAACGGATGATTGTCTTGTCGAAGACGATGATGATGAACTACTTACACTATCCACGTTTAGAACATTTTTGTTCTGATTTCGTTGCCTATTTTGCCAACACCAATTTCGTTTGTAGCCTAATTAATAATATGCATTTTATTGAACATTTTAAGCTCTCATTATTTATGCCTATGTTAATGAGATATAAATTAATGAATTGCAAAATCAACCTTGTGGCCAGAAAATTATTATGGTAAATTTTAATTAGATCAAAGAAATGTAAATTTTTGAAATAAAATACATATGTACATTTTACCACTATCACTATACATTTAATTTTTTTAAATGTTCCATGAAACCATCCAGAAATACTTGTAATAATAATAATCAAACTGATAATTTACTGAATAAAAGCTGTATTTATTCAAATTATACAATTTATGTGGCAAAATTATCATGTTTACTTCACATAAGCTAATTTCAAAATAAAAATGTAATAGTATTGGAATATTTAATGATCTATTTTCAACATTTGTTTTTGATTATTTTTTTCTTTAAATTGATCAATTAATTATAAATTTATTTTGTATTGAAAGTTTAATTTAAAATTCTGAACTGAAGTTATAGAAATGTAATTGGTCTTGCCTTTAAGATGACTTCTCCTCTTGTGATACATCTTTTAATCTCAATAAATTCAAAGAATTTCTGATATTAAATTTAAAAAGATTAATTAATTCAATCAAGAAGGCTTCAAAGTTTCAAATTTACATATTTTATTTTAATTGGAAATCAAGAAACAAAAAGGATGAAAATACAGAAAATAATTTAGTGAGATCTAGTTTTCATGAAATATTTCAAAACAAATATGAGGTAATAATAAGTAATAGGATCATAAGTGTTATACTAAACTATTTAAAGAAGTAAAACAAATTTTATTACCTGTACCATGATTATTTCGATTGTGATGTTGATAATTATTGTTGTGATTATAATTTTCGGACTTATTAACATTAAAATTTGTTTTGTGTGAATTTTGTACTTTCTCCATGTTATGAGCATTTTGCTTATTACTTGGCTGCTTATTGTACACTCCTTGATAATTATTATATTTTCTCTCTTTATTTGCATTGCAATACTAAAATTGAGTTTGTGCTAGAATTATAGTGTTTTGAAAATAAAGAAATAAATCTCACCTGCTTATTGATATCATTATTCATGGAGTTATGAAAAAATCTATGTGGGCCACGGTAATTGAAATGCATATTTTCTGAGCCATGATTGTTGCTTTGACTTTTTGAATCCACATTTTGCTGTTGCTGATTCATTGCCTTATTATTATGAAGTTTTGCTTGGTTGAGAGCAATTCCTTCTCGATTATAATTTGGTTGAGTAGATGAAACAGTCACACCAGCCATTTTAACTGTATTGTTAATATAATCCTTACTATTCTGTGAGTTAGTCAATGATAAAAATTGGATTCCGTCATAAAGTGAAATATTTGACGGACCTAAAAATTATTTTCAATAGTCAATATAAAAATTGTTCATATTGTTAAAAAGCAACTATTTCATTTGTATGTTGTTGTGCATTAGATTATATTATGTAAGTTATAAATATATGTTGATCTATTATGTACCTATTTGTAATTATTGTAAAAATCTTATTAGCACTCAATTTCATATTATTTATGTCTCACAATTAACATTGCATATAAATTTAGTTAAACTAAAGTTGCTATGAAATTTGAGAAAAAATTAAAACAAATATAGAAAAGAGAATGAAGATAAGTATAACAGGATTATCAAAATCATGGGTATAAAAGATATTAACAAAATATAATTTTATTTGATTTTAATATTATGTGCTATTATACAAATGAATCTATTTGAAAAAATATGATAGACTTTGACTCTGAAACACATATTAAAGCTGTAAATACATGTAAGACTTAAGAATCCAGTTCACATCTCATATATAAAAAAGCTTTCTTGATTAATAAGATATGAATTAAATGATAACTTTACCTGTGATTCCAGTTTCTTGTGAATTTATTGTATAAACTATTTGAGGATAATATGTGTGATACATTCTCATTCAAATGACAATCAAATTAGAATTTTTTTCAACAGCGATCGTTATTGCCAAAAGCACACAAGAATTTAAATCAGGAAAGCATTTTATATTTTATGATCACATATCGACCAATATTTTCATGGTGGAACAATAAATGCCCAAACAAATAATTGACATTTATTGTTATATTTAAAAAAATATTAGGAATGATTTCATCCCCTTTATTATTCGGTTGACATTTGAGTTTGTAAAATATATATGTCAAGGTTTTGCTCTTTCACCTGCAAGCAGAAAATAAAGAAACAATTAATAAAAAAATATTTTTTTAACGAAAAGCAATATTAACAGCTTCTAAACATCCAGTGTTTAATTCATTACATCATTTGTTACTAAGACATTATTAATGAAAAACATTTGTGAATTAATAATGGCGCGAAGATGACAGTGATATGTGATTTTGACATGATTTATCGACGGCCGTAATAATTTAATAGAATAATCTAGGATAATCAATTACCTCATTAATTTAAAAATACTTCCTAAAATATTATTACATTGGAACTTAGCGGATATGCTTCTGTCACTTTCGATGGCATGAGTTTCTTATTAGGTTATAAAATATATGAAATATAAATAATCCATGGAATCAAGCAGACTTCAAAATACTAGTTTTCGATGCTTGTAGTTTTTTCTGCAAAAAAGTTTTTATATTTCTCGATGGAAAAATATATGACAAGGACTATTAACGTGTGCACTTTTTTTTACCTTATTTATGCCACGAAATATGCTCCTTCGGCTTAAAATAATTATCTAACATTAAAATCGAAACGCAACGTTCTAATAAATAAATAATCAACAAATTGAACATGAAGTACAAACCGACAAACTCAAACCGACAATAAAACAATTGCTCTTGATTACATATTTGTTCAATTTATAAATGTCAATTGAAGTTTGATACGATTCGGATATGGATTGAAAATTAGTAAACAAAAATTATTTTGGCGGTTAATTTTAAATGTTTGAAAACGACTTTTTATTGATATTTGCTAATCATTATATATAGTAATTCAATATTATATTCATACTTGCCCATTGTCATATGGAAATCATTTCTATATCAACTGCCTTGTCACAATTTTCAATACAAATCATATTGTTCACATAATCTCCATTATTCTGTTATTATAGTTTTCAATTTTACTTTTTTCATTACATTTATAAGGAATAGAAATTCTTATTTGTTGTTTTTTTTTAAATTTTGTTAGTAAAATAAGCACATTATGTATCGGCAATTTTGAACGAATTAATTTCTAACAACTAAAATTATTTATTGTAATTTAAATTTTAGTTTCTTTCAAATATTTTAGTTATTAGAAATTAATTTATAATTTACAAACAAATTTGATAGAATACACTAATATTAAATAATAAGACTAATAATAAAAGTTGTTTTCCTTCCATTATAAAAATTGAATTATGTATTTTCAGCAAACAAAATATGTAATGTCAAATATCGATCTCAGTTTTATTTATGATATATAATTACAAAAAACATATTATCTATTTTTAAATATAAAAACACAATTGCAGCACGATTGTAAGAATAAAATAAATATATTCAGAAACTGGTTTATCATCAAAATAAGTTCTATTATATTATATTTAGTTTTTTTTAGTGATACAACCAGAGTTAAAATGTAAGATACAATATAAATTTTATTTACTGGCTAAGTTTTATTATTTTTATAGCATTAAGCTGGCACAGTTATAAATAAATTGAAACAATTTTTGAAGAAGTTTATATATATTGTTAAGAAAATAGTAATTCATGAAGTTGTATCTTTTATACAAATATATCACATTTACTATACTTTTTGTTAAATATGAATTACAAAAATTCAGTAATGATATTAATAATTTAACAAAATATTAAATTATACATATCATTTCTTATAATACACAATTAGCTATATTACAAATTCTTATATTTAATAATTACAAATAGGTCTATGAAGTCAATGTAAAAACATTATATTTAGTACAATATTTGCCTTATTTTTTTTTATTATATAAATTTTATAATATTAATATTATTATGACATTTTCTCCCTGATCACAAACCATATTTTAAAATTTGTTCTGTACAATAACAAGTTAAAAATTATCACGTCTACAATAAGTTAAAATTTACAAATATTCACACATTAATTAAATTTACTTTAAAAATCTAAATTCATGTCATATTTAAAAAACTTTTATAGTAAATACAGCCTTATTTTAAAATAAAATATGACTCTATTTGCTAGCATACAGTTAATGTATATAAAATAAAAAATATAAATATTTATACATATAAAATATGGAATATTTTTAACAAATTTAAACCTCAATAATAAAATAATTTACAGTTTGTGAGTCGCGCAAATATTCACATATTTACTGCATTAAAGAAAATTCATCCTATAGATTCACCATTTTGTTCAAATTCAATGTTTTGTAGGCTACGTCCGACATTCATTATTTTCTCCTAATAAATGCTCTCCTTGTGAAAATATATCTACTTCATCAGTATCACTGACTAAATAATCTCCATCTAGTTTATCACATTCTGATATTTCATCTATCATGTGGGAAGATGTATTTATAGTTGGTAATTTGCTGTAGCTAACGCGATTGGTATGCATTCTCTGAAAGAATATTTATTAAGAATCTAGCATATATAATACACAAATAAATTTTAACTTTTATTAATAAAAGTAAGAAAACCTATTAAAATATTCTATTTACGACTTCAACTATTATAAATTTAAACTCTCCTAAGACATTTCTCAAAAATTTTAATTTTTGTTGCACAATCATCAATTCATCATTTATCAACAGAGCAACAGGTACGGAAATTCTTTGTGACAATAAGTTCTTGTCTAATTCTACAAAGTAAAAGTTGTTCTTACTTAATTACAACTCACCTGGAAAGTTGCAAATATTGTTACAAATATTAATATCATAACAATTACTGCAGCAACAGTCAATGATGGTAAACCATTCAATATATAACTTGAAACCGATTGTTGGTTAATATCTTTTGATTTTTGAATCATTTGTTCAGTTTCTATTAAACCCAAAGCAATTCTTCTTTTCCCAGCAGGTGAAGAATTTTTACAACTTCCTGAAAAATATTGTAAATAAAATAAATAAAATGAAAAAATCTTTTAAACAAAAAGATATATAACAAATATATATATCCATTGCAAAACATTACATTATTTTATCAATTACTATATATTATATACTTTATAATCTATATTTAGAGTATGTTATTGGAATTCATTAAATATAATTATTTATTTGAAAATAAATAAAATAATAGACTAATAGGATAACCGATTTGGATGATTCAAGCGAGATAAATTGTTCGTATTAATATACATTTATAAAAAGAAAATTTTACTTTTTTGAGAAAAATAAAAGAAAATAATTCTGTGATTTAAAGCTTACAATTAATTTAAAATTTTCAACTGTTACAAATTGAAAGTTAATTTTTATACCTGTATTGGGATCACAATGGCAACAAGTCTGATCGACAAGTGCAGTGGAATCTTGTGATGAAGTTGTAGACTCTTGTTCTGTTGTACAACATGGCACACATTGATTATTCAACCTGTATTAATAATAAATATTCAAATAAACACAAAGGAGATTCAAATAATAATATTTAATAAATTAAATGTTATATGCATGTATCATCTTCAAATACGTCTCCTAAGGCAACTCCTAAATATTATAATGAATTTATTTATTTATATAGTAGTATTTATTTAGTCATGCATAAAAAACACCCAAGAAACTTGCCTGAAAAACAAAAATGCGACTTATAGAATTCTGGGATACTTAAATACAAGTAAGTGTTTCTTTTGAAATTTTGTAACAGACCAAGATCTGCTCATCCTGTGTTTTATATACCAATTTTTGATGCTTATTGATAATTGGTCAGAAACATTCAAAGTAATTAAGCTCTTGCATCTATTTTAATAATTTTATAATAGTTGGATATATTACTTACTTGTCTAAGTGAAGAGGAGATGTACATGATACACAACTAAATTTTCCAGGACCATTGCATGTGCGACAACTTGAATCACAAGTTTTACAGAGCTGTGTTGGGGGATCATAATATTGAGAGCCTAAACATTCCATGCAAAGCCCACCATCAAGCATATGCCCTGGAGGACAACTTGTACAAGATAAAGGCCCTTCATCTGAAAATGGAAAAGATTAAATCAGAAATTAATTGTGTAACATCTACGTATCGTATAATCAACCTGGTTTCAAAACAGTTGGAATAAAAATGTCTTATATATGATAATAAACAAGTATAATTTATAATAATTATTACAATTTAGAAAGTGTATACTTAGTGTTAGTATTTTATATTATTTATTTATTATTATACAAAACTGTATTTTTAAGCCCTTCTAGATCCAGAAGCTCGAGCTACTCTGTGGGCTATCTTTCAATAAAAAATAAATTATAGTTCGAGAAACTATCATAATTGTTAACACTAAATTAAATATAAAGAACACATCAATGAAGGCAAGAAAAACTAACTTGTACAGATGATAAATGATGGTAATCAATAAATCAGTTAATTACCATCTGTACAAGTATATGATTTTATATAATCGTATTTATATTTACATCATATCAATCTTGATGTATTTATTATTCTATTTTCAGATAGTTTACCTTTACAATTGCGACAGCTATGATGACATCTCTGGCAGTTGTATGCGCCCCGGTAGAACCCGGCAGGACATTCTGGTCTGCATTCTCCAGCTGCTATTTGCCATCCTGTGGGACATCGTACGCACTGGTCTCTTCGTGGTCCGCTGCAGGTTTGGCAACTGATGTAACAACGGGAGCATCCTCCACGATCGTTGTAGTATCCATCGGCGCACGTGGCTCGACATTCGCCTGTTTGCAGCTGTTGGTAATAAAATAAATTTAAAAAAACTGAATATGTCCCTTCATAAATATCGATATAGTCTGAAATATACAATATTTTACATATTTCACTAACCTGTAGGCCAGGAGCACATGCTGTACAATTTTGTCTAGAAACGCATTGCGTGCAGGTGTGCAGGCAGGGTGAACATCCGCCACCTTCGGGAAAATGACCATCTGTACATTCACCCACACAGTTTGAATTTTGCAACCTGAGAGATTGTTCGCAGCTCAGACAATCAGACTTGGAAGGTCCAAAACAGCTTTCACACGTCGAGTGACATGGATGGCAGTTACCATCGGCGTAATATTCACCTGACAAAAATTAAAGTATTTTAATATTTAGAAGTCCACATATAAACGATAACAATAATTTGTGCATAGATAAAAATCCTAATTACCAATTATCTTTTTAAATAAAACATAATTCAATTACCCTGTTCACATTTTTCAGCTCCATTCGGCCAACATTTTCCCTTTTTATCAGCATCCCAGCCTTCTGCGCAATCCGTGCACATGCCAGACGATTCGCAGCTGGTACATCCTGATGGACATGGAACACACTCGCGTCGTTTCTTGTCGGCCCGAAAGTTGGCTGGACAAGAACTCAAACATGCGCCTTCATGATGTAGCAATCCTGGTTTGCAAGTCACGCATTGTGTTTCAGATGGTCCAGTACACGTTCCGCAGGATGGATGACATTGGGCGCAACTATAAGATGAAAAATTATGAAAAGTAGGAATTGGAAATGATACAATATCATGAGAATATTTTGAGGGTGACTACACTTTCCAAAATTATCAAATCTCATACAAAATAAAAATTATCAAGCAATTACTAAATAAAATATTATTATGTTACATCTTTAATAATCCATATAAAATTAAATACTTAAAAAAATAAATTACAAAGTTATGTAAATATAAAAAATGTTAAAGTTTTTTTTAATCAAAATAAATTATTACAACTAGAACACCAACATTCAAATTTCCAAATACTAATTTAAATAGCAAAACTACATTGAATTGTGAATTCAGATTATAAACAATTGTTTGCAACCTAGACACAATGCAATGATATTGCAAAAAATATGATTATTAATAAAACTTACTTGTAGTCTTCAGTTTCATATGTGTCTTGAGGACATGCGGCGTAGCACTTATTCTCGTACATAACTAAATGATGATCACAGCTGGTACAGTTGTCTGGTCGATCTTGGCAAGATCCACAAGTAGGTCCACATGGTACGCATGTGCCTTGTTCTGTATCTGCATTTTAGTGAAATATTTTACAATCTATCATATTAAATAATCACATTTCCAGTTTGATTAGAAATGTTAGTTTTGAATTTAATTTACAGTTCAATAAATATTACAGATAAAAAATAAAATATTTCATTTTTCTTTCTTACTTTCGAAGTATCCCTCAGGACATTGTTGCAAGCAAACGGCAAGATCAAGTACTCGTAAATGAGCAGGAGCACATGTTAAACAACTGTCCATTCCTGCTCCTGCACAAGTTTCACATGAAGCGTGACATGGCCAGCAAATTCCTTGTTGATTGGGAAAACTACGAGGTGGGCACTTTGACACGCAAGTTCTATAAATAAAATAAAAAACTTTATTTATTTGAAAAAAAAATAAAATCACTGCTGATCATAAATTTAACATTGATTATAATCTGTAAATAATATTTATAGTCCGTATTACTAAAAAATTGATATTTAAAAAATAATTTGAGTTATACATTTAGAATTTACATTTTTATGATTTAAAATCAACTTGAAATAATAAATAATAAGAATTGGATGTAAAACTTTCAAATTTACCCAAGAAAATAATTTTAGTTAGAAACAAAATCAAGAAATAATCCACTTACTGGTCTAATTTGTAGTGTTTGCAAGCAATACATTGTCCTGGTCCTGGGCCGTAGCAACCTTTCTGTTCATCGCATTGCTCATCACAATTATTATGGAATGTTTCAGTTTTGTTATTAACAACGACATTAGTCGCTGACGCTTGCGCTAACATTCCATCATCTGGTGAAACTATTGCTACTTCTGGATCACTTCCTGCGCCAAATAAGTCTGGATAGTTTCTGGAAATAAAAAGAACATGACATAGTATATATATAGATAAAAAATTTACAAACAAGTATACAGAATTTCAGAGAATTGAAATGCAACAACTGCAATTTTACTATTCTAATACAATATTTACAATATACAATACAATACATTGCTATATTAATATTGTAATGTATTGTCAAGTTCGCTCATACTTGAAACTTTTGTAATATTGCAATTATAACTGAAATTGCTATATTATTAATATTTTCTATGTTTACCTGTAGGTACCAGTGTTAAAATCGGTGAAGTATTGTGGTGGTTGGGGAACAACTCTCCGAAGCGCGTCTTGGCCAGGAAATTGGAAGCTAGGATTTGGTGATCGAAGACGAATTGGATTTGTATTTGTGCCATAGAATATTAGCTGCCATTTCTTCAATATACCAGCTTGATTGACCCGTCTATTGCCTGCATTTATTACCTAAAAATAAACAATAATATTTTTTCCTTTTTATATTATGAATAACAAAATTTGAATTTTCTTATATTGTTTTATCATGTGTACCTGTAGAGTCCACCGTCCGTCGGCCTTCTCTCCCCAAAAGTGGACGCTCAAGAATGGCCAATCGTCAAAGTTAGAGCTGACGACATCCCGTGGCCTTTCAAAAAGTAGCGTTGATGTTGTACCCATTGGAGAAGTCAGTAAAATTTTCAGATTGCCTCGCGGGAAAAATCTCAAAGTAATTTTGCACTGCACATGCTCAAGAAACCGAACTTCATTAAGAGTTCCACTGCAACCTGTCACATCCATGTGTGCGACAAGTGTATTTCCGTAAGTTGGTTCGATTAGGCGCTCTTCCGCAATTTCTTGGCTCTTGCAGATATGCTGAGGGGGTACTGTAGTCCATTGTTCGGCCAAACTGACCATTGCTCCCGCGTCCATCAAACCATATCTGAAGAAATGAAATATAAACATCATATTAACACAAAAACGATTATGTGCAATAAAACGTCCTGGTGGCAGTTGTTCGATAAAATAATTAAAAAAAAATTGTTTGGTTCATCTTTGTTTGTCCAAGTCTACTATAATCAGCATAACATTTCTAATAGTTCTTTGTTATTTTGAATTTCGTACCCGAATTTGTGACTGACTTTCCTCTTGACGCCGTTTAAAATCCATCCTGCTTCCTTCTCCAAGGGAGCAGATCTGGAAGTCAGCACTACTAGATATTGCATATCACGCCATGTCAGTGCTGGATTTGCTTCCAACGCTAGCGCACAAATACCTGAAATGATATTTTTCATGTCAATAAGGCACATAAAATAAAATTTACTGCATAGATATCGTCTAAAGAAAAGTATACAATAATTCATGATATAACATTAAAAATATTCAAAACAATATTATCTCATTTTAAAATGTATAACGTACCTGCTGCCAAAGGTGCAGAAGCAGATGTTCCGGTATGTTCGACCGTGCAGATGTGATCTGGTCTCAAACGAGCGTCCATATCGACTGTTGCAACGCTTTTATCATGGCCTGGTGTACCAGAACTATATGTTGAAGCTAAAGTGGAAGAACATTCTTCCAGGTACCATGGTTTATATCTGAGAATATAGAATTTAACAAATTATTATAATATTTATTTAATAAGGCAAATTCACACTATATATCATTTTTCCATTAATTAAATATTGAAACATCTAATAGTTATTTCGTGATAAAAACATTATTGCAAAAGGAGACAGTTTCTTTTTTACGTGTTCTCAGTATATAATTAGTCAATGTAAGAACTAATTGCATTACATTATATAAACTAGCTGTAAGTGGAATTCTGTCTTAAGGCAATTAAGGCATCGTGCCTTAAGGCAAATTGCTGGAACTTCCCGTACCAAAAATTATTATTTTTTAAAAAACGATTAACATTTTTGAAAAAAAAATTACTTTGAAAAAATAAGATTTTTGAGAAACTATAAATTGGCCAAAAAATTACTTTTTTTTGAAAAAAAAAATTTTTTTAAAAAAAAAATTTTTTTTAATTTTTTTTTTGTTTTTTTTTTGAAAAAATAATTTTTCTTTATTTTGACATATTGTGGAAGATCTAAACTTTTTTCAAAGCAATCGTACTGTTTTAACTGCATAAGGACAAAATATAAAGCGCGTAAGTGCCGCGTCGCTGTCTAACGCATAAGCATTGGTACGGAACCCATAGGAATGTTAACAAAATGTATACTTATTGTTAAAATCTCTATAAAATATCTGATAATTTGATGTGCATACTCGTATGTCTAATGATCATTTTTGACCGCCAAATGGCTCATTTTTTTACTTTTTCCTCCATATCTCCGAAACCGCTAGACCTACCTTCATGAAAATTTTATCGATTCTTCATCTTGTCAATACAAGTGAAACGTTTTTTGAATTATTCAAATCGGACGCTCCGTTCTCTTAAAAACTGAGTTACCGTTTTCGGCACTTTTTGCCCCGTATCTTCGGAACGGCTAGACCTGTCTTCGCCAAAAACTAATCAGCACGTCTCCTTATCAATACAAATCGAATGTTTTTTGAATTATTCAAATCGGTTGATCCGTGTTCCCGAAATCGTCGACGAAAATTTGTATCCGCACATACATACACACACATACATACATACACACACATACACACACACACACACACACACACACACGCATACATCCATTTTTTCTAAGGTATGCCAAAATGTTCAGAAACCTTTGAAACGTAAAGATATATAAAAATTTTCATTTTCGATTTTTTTGCGATTACTATAACTTACCCTACGGGAAGTTAATTAACTTAAACTTACCCTCCTTGAGTTGCACTAGATATCGACAACGTAAAAATACTGTTAGTATATCCATCGCAATTACAGCTGTCTGTGTGCCTGCCACCATTTCCGGATGCCCAAACAAAAATTGATCCTTTGCCTTTACGCCCGCTCGTTACTCCATAGATAAAAGCTCTCCTGGCCAGAGGTCCTGGTCCATCAACAGTTTTACCGTCATCTTCTGGGCCCCAAGAGGCGCTGTAGACGTCGATGTGGTCGGGGTTGAGACCTAAGGCGCGAGCTTCAACGGCGTCGTTGACCACACCGTCCAACATACGAACACCTGAAAAAAAGAATGATTTTCGATGAAAAATGATTTTAAATAATAAATAATGAAATTCTAAAAAATAGTACTAATTACTCGTCTTGGCTGTTGTAATTATATACCTATTCTCATTATATAACTGAATTCTCTTTTATTATTTTCTCGAATAACAATTAAAATACAGCATTTTAATCTTATGAGTTATTTTTTAAAATGAACCAAATCAATCATCCAAAAGAAGCAGGGTTGGACAAAAAAAAACCTTCGGTTGGTTGTAGTGGCTTTAAATTTTTGAGTGGTAGATCGTGCTTCTTTCAGCGGTACATCTGTTTCCAGAGTACTATTTTCGAAAATAATCCAAAACTTTTGAAATTATATTAAAAAATAAGCAAAAAACAATTAGTTTTTATGCATATTTTTACATAATATTGCATATTAATTTGAAGTCTGATATCAGTTGAGTATTTATAAAATTCTATTGTTGAAAAAACTAAGGGGAGCGCAACATTTTTTTTTATTAGAGCAGAGGAGCGCGGTGCAAAAAAGATTGAAAACCACTGCCCTAAATCGTTATGGATTCGTGTTCGTGTCTCATATTTTAAACAATAAAATATATCGCAAATTATTTTATGCAATTTATAAAATATTTTTGAGGAGATATAAATATTAAATGATCTATATCAAATGATAGGTTGATGTTCGTTCATCTAAATCTACTCCAATCAGCATTATTTTAGTTATTTTTAATTTCGTACCCAAATTAGTTACTAATTTGTGACAAGCTATGTATATTGGAAATTATTTGATATAATTAAGAATACAAGTTAGTGAAGATATCAATATTAATAAATCCCTCATTATGAAAAATGTTAAATTTAATGTAATATTATTTCTTAAATAAATAAATTAATTTACTATTTCCTTATTATTCTTCTCTCTGCTAATCTAAATTTCAGTTATTCTTAATATTCTGCCTAAAGTGATATAATATTTTGCAATTTATTTTATGCATAATTAATGAACTTTAATCAAAATAATTTATTATAATAAAACATTTTTTTAGCTAGTTATTTTTTAATAAACTAGTTGTGGTATTTTGTCTTAAGGCAAGTTACATGAACTTTTCGATATGTGTACACAATTGACTTAATCAATAACAAATAAATAAATTTAAGAATGATTTAAGTATTTCGAGTGGATGTATTAAATATTATCGAAAATCGTACACGTGTCTAATACAATGCCGAGTGTTTATTAAAAGCAAATGTTCAAAATTCGATAAATTTTTATAATTGTACTAGTTTCCGTATGATTATAATGGTTTAGTAAATTTATTAAGGCCAGGTACTATATCGCCATACCAAGTAAAATGTCTAATTTTAACAAACGTCAAAAAAACGGCAATTTTCTCAAACTTTGACATTTTTTTTTAAATTAAACGACTTGTCGTAGGACCGTGATATTTTAGTATGATCTATCTAGAAGACTATGGTATCTACCGTCAAAAAAATAATCATAAAAATCGTCGATTTTTTTTTAAACTTTATTACAAGAAAACGGCCCGGCCGATCTCTACCAAAAACTAATCAGCACGATTCCCAATCAATATCTTTCGAACAGTTTTTGAATTTTCAAAATCGATTCAGAATTGCGGGCTAAAACGTAGACGAAAAATTTTTCACTTTTCTGCGATTTATAAAGAAACGGCTTGGCTGATCGTCGCACAAAATTGACAAACAATAGTCCTCATCGAGATACATCGAGTGGCTTTTAAATTTTTGAAATCGGTCCAGCCGTTTTTCGAAAAAACGTCGATTTACGGCAAAAAAATTGTTCACATACACGCACACACATACACACATACTTTTTCCAAATTTGGTCTCATTCGATTCAGAATAGCTTGAAACGTCGAGAAAACATAAAATTAGCAATTCGGATTTTTTGATGAAAACATAAATTTCTTCGGGAAGTTAACTAGTTGGTAATGGTATTTTGCCTTGAAGCAAGTTACATGAACTTTCCGATATTTGTAAATAATCGACTTAATCAATAAAAAATAAATTAACTTATGAGTGATCAAAAGTATTCAGAGTGGATTTATTACACATGATTAAAAACGAACGAAGACTTAACGTCTCGCACTCCTTTCTAAAAGCTAATTTTCAAAAATCAATAATTTTTATAATTGAACCAATTTCCATAGGACTTTAATGGTTTAGTATGTACAATAAGACTAAGTACTTTATCGTTATACCAAGTAAATCATCTGATTTTAACTTCAACAAACGTCAAAAAAACTACTTATTTTCTTAAACTTTGATAATTTTTTAAAAATAAACTACTCGCCGTAAGGCATTAATACTTCAGTAAGTTCTATAAGACCATTATATATATCGCCAAAAAAAGTTCCATAAAAATCGGCTTAAATTTTTTTCTTGACAGTTAATTTACAAGAAAACGGCTCGGTAGATTTTCATCTAAAACTAATCAGTATCATTTCCAACTAATATTTTTCGAACAGTTTTTGATTTTTCAAAATCGATTCAGTAGTATTAAATGTGGACGAAAAGTTTAACACTTTTTTTCCAAATTACAAAGAAACGGCTCGGCAGATCGTCGCACAAAATTGACAAATGCTAATTCTCATCGAGAACCATCAACTGGCTTTTAAATTTCTAAATTCGGTTCAGGCGTTTTTGAGCAAACGTCGATGAAAGCTCTAATTTTGACAAACGCCAAAAAAACGATGCTAATTTTTGTAAACTTTGACGAATTTTCAAAATTAAACGACTTGTAGTGAGCTGTAATATTTTAGTATGATCTAGAAGATCATGATATCTATCACGAAAAAAAAATTATGAGAATCGTCGAGATTTTTTTTAACACTTTATTACAAGAAAAGGGCCCGGTCGATCTTTACCAAAAACCAATCAGGTCGATTCCCAACCAATATCTTCCGAACGATTTTTGAATCTTCAAAATCGATTCAGAATTGCGGACTAAAACGTGGACGAAAAATGTTTTACTTTTCTGCTATTTACGAAAAAACGATTAGGTCGATCGTCGCACAAAATTGATAAACACAGTGCTCATCGGGATACATCGAATGGCTTCGAAATTTTGTGTTTTATAGTTTCGTATGAATAAATATTTTATAATACTTGCGTTTACCAAATTGGGCCATGTCAGAAATACGTAATATTTGCTTCTGGCCTGATTATCGTACGCGGGCTATGCCCGTAATATTTACGTTTTGCCTAGCCATTGTACGCAGGCTAGGTGTAGGTGAAGGTATTAAATTCTAAAATTATGTGGCGGGCCGCACTTATAAATAATTTACCATGCTTGATATATTTATATAATAGTATGCAAATAAATTTAACAAGAAAAAATACATTCTAATTAATTTAATAATGCGAGAAAGTTCATACAAATAGACAAAATTCAATTTGAGAAATGGTTGGCAGGCCTCCACCCATTGTCAGAGGACACAGCAAACAAATAATCCAGAAATATAGAATATTTATTGTAACATACAGATTATTATGTGATTATACATAGTAGAACAAAAACTCATACCAAATACTATTTTTATAAAATGTTTATCGCATTAATTATATTAACTGATATTTTAAACTTTTAGAAAAAATCTCGGCTGTTATCTGCACCATATTATAATTTGTTATGACATTTTATTGGTTTTTAATAAAATAGCGTTGCATCTGAAACCTTCCTTATATTTCAGTTACACACAAATAAATAATACTACTGTTCATTGTTAGTCGACAAAACACACAAAATATTAAGCCACAAACATAAATAAAAATATAATTAAGAGAAATAATACTTGACAACAACCGCCACGAAGGTTAGATTATAACTGAGTTAAAATTGCATATTTACTTTCGTATTGCGCCCTCTATGATTCTGATCCCAAAACTATTCCGAATAGATAACAATTATTGAATTTTAATATCATCTGGTAACAATTCACGCCGTTTCGACCCTATAAATTGGGTCCAAAAACCGAAGTCAAACCATTCAGTGTTTGGAGCTCGTGGGGACACTTCAATGGTAAGTCTTTTAAAAATATTTATATTGTGTAATAATTTCATATATTCAGTTTTAAATACGTTGCATGGAATTTGTTTTGCTCGATTGTGTTTGACTTGATCCACTGTTCAATAATGAATAAAAGAATTCAAATAAATTGAAGTAAATATTCGTCACTTTTATATTAAACGATTTATATTACTTTTTATACTCTAATATATATTTGCTGAGAAGTCGCCTTCGTGTTTTTTGTTACGAATATATTCAATTTTAGCTTCGGAATAATAATAACCTAATACATATTTAGATTGTAATGTGTACCTTGTCGGTTTAGAACAGATTTAGTATTCAACATACAATTTTTTATAAATCCTATGTTTGAAATACTTTTTTTTTAATTTTTTTTGGCCGGGAATTGCGAAAACGCAAATGAAAGAAGCGCGACTAAGGCACTTCTACTGTATTTACAACTGACTAGTGTTTTTTTATTTATATTATTTTATTATTTTATTTAATTTTTTTTTATTTAACTTGTTTCAGATTTCGTGTGGTGTTTTGCACAGTGGCGGGTGACTGGGGATTCATTGTGCCTTTTTTACATTTTATTATATTTAAAATTTTTAATTAATCTACTTTTATCATGGCTTAGTTACTACTTGCGTCCAACCGTTTTTCTGTTTTGTTTGTGCGGAAAATTGAGTTCGAAACTATTATCGTTAATCATTTATAGTTTTTTTTATCGTTTGAAACGATTTTTAAAGCCGAGTTTGCGCGTTTTTAAAACCTGTCGCCCTCCCCCCTCGGCAGGTTCGAGTAGTTCGCGATTAATTATTAAATCAATTTTTGTTGGTCGGTGTGTGGTTGCTTGCAAAGCTTTTCCCAGAAGCGGAGCAACGCCATACGCTTTAATTCATAAATAATACTATATGTACATATTAAGAGTAATGTTAATTTTTTTTTGAATT